TAGTAGTAGTGGTAGTAGTAGAAGTACTACTACTACTACTACTACTACTTCTACCACCACCGCCCCTACCGCTGCCGCTACGGCCTACTTTCGCTGCTACTGCTACTCCTACTCTTGCTAACAGTAGTACTTATGCTGCTGCTGTAACAACAATCACGAGTACCATAACCCTGACACCACCACCACGACGACTGCCAAGCCTGAATTGCCGAGGGGCACCACTCTTGAGGGGCATGAGTGCGGCCCAGGCGGTGCACAGGCCAAGCCACATGCAGATCATTGCCACTGTCCATTGGTGTCCCGTTTGCGCGCCTGGCTGGGCTTAATGTGCCGTGATTGTGGGTGCTAAGCAGCCCCTCCAATCAAGTCAATTCCCTACAACCTTCAGCCCTCCTCGTTTTTTCGTGGGCCAGTTTCTATCAGATGTGTAGGCCTCCAGAAGTCCTAGTTAGGATGAGCCAGTTAGCCAGCTTAGTCAGAACTTCAGCCCTCGTTGTTTCCACTCTGGGACATTGGAGGGTCCGGCTGAAAGCTTCATAGAAAACAGCGACCTGGTGCAAAACAGCTGTTTCTCGGTCCCTCCTGCCTGCCTGCTTATGTGTGTCTGTGTCTCTTCGTCTGTCTGTCTGTCTATCTGCCCGTGTCTGGCTATCTGCGTCTGTCCTCTGTCTCTGCCTTCCGTCTTCCGCCTCTGTTTTCTGTGTCTGTCTTTCTTTCGCCGGGGTTCTGTCTCTGTCTCTGTCTCTCTCTCCGTCTTCTTCGAGGACGGGAACCCACCCACCCACCCCCACCCACCACCCCACCCACCCACCCAGGTAGGCAGACTGAGGGACAGAGAAAAAGAGAGAGAGAGAGAGAGCGAGAGCCCTTTAAGCCTTGTGAAACAACGAGACCAAGAGACAGCCAGCCAGCCGGGCAGGGTGGCAGGCAGGCAGACAGACAGACAAAGACAGACAGAGACAGAAAGACAGACAGACAGACAGACAGACAGACAGACAGACAGACAGACCGACAGACAAACAGAGACCGAGAGACCTGTCTGTCTATCTCTGTCGGTCCGTCTGTCCGTCCATCCGTCCATCTGAAGCATACTTTCTTTCTTGCTTACATACTTACTTTCTTACTTACTCGCTTGTTCTTTGCTTACTTGCCTGCTTACTTTCTTACATAGTTACATACTTGTATACTTGTCTACATGCATACATACATACATACATACAGACATACAGGCATACAGGCATACAGACATGCAGACATACAGGCATACTACAGGCAGGCAGGCAGACAGACGGACCTTCCTGCTCACCTACCTACATACATTCCTATCTGCCTCCATCCATGCGTTCATGCATACCTGCATACTTACATACACATACGCACAGACACATACAGACATACAGAGAGACATACATGAGCACAGTGTACATGCGCACATCATGCGTACACGCATACGTGCGTACATGCATATATGAACAGATACATGGCAAGCACATGCGGGGCCCTGAGGCATGTACCATCTTCAGACGTCGCGCCAAAGACGAAGTAGCCAGCACCACCTCCGGTTCATGGGCCATGTAACAGTGTAATGTAGCTTTGGAGGCCACGGTTTTTCAGCAGCAGGCCGCAGGCTGTGCACACTGGTCTCTTGACTGCCCGGTTTCTCTAGAGGTCGACAAGCCAGCCCTGACACCACGGAAACCACAAATGCAGCTGGTGTACAACCCTCACAACAGCACGAAGACCCACATGACGAGACCAAGTACGACTTCAGCAAGATGCGAGGCGGCACAAGGACCTGCAAAGAGACCCGCCGGCAACCTTGGGCTGTGCCGAATCGGCTCACAGTCCGTGTTTGTGGACAGGATCTATTACGCTGCAAGGCTCAGGCATCTAGTCGGCTCGATTTGAGGACTGTCAAACTTGTGCAAAAAGCTGCACGTTGAAGAGACTCGACAGCGACTGATCAAGCCAGTGTAAGAACCAACAGCCCAGTGGCGCGCCCAGTATTGGGACCGTTCCAAGCACACTGCGCGAGATGATGGAGTCCACTCCTGCCTTTTGGGCTGACAATCATCAGCATCAACTGCAGCTGATATTAAGGCTATAATTACAAACCAAGAAACGTAACACATACGTCTCATCAATGATGACGACGACCAATGACAGAGAACGACATGTCATACCGTAACCAAAGCCCGACGCAGTCAGGAGTGCAGGTGCTGAAAACTCAATTCATTAACATGGCAAGCTGCTTGTCCATCAAGCCTGCAACTCTAAAAAACGACATCTATGGCTGCACAACATCTCACCGAGCTCAGCGCATGCACGGCCAGGGCGAACGTGGCCTTAGACCAGGCATCGTGAGGACAGCGTCGGACTTGGGATCTATCGCCTGCAACGATTGGGTTTTGCAAAGAGGAGTGCATACAAATGGGAGGGATGTCCTGCGGCAAGAGCCTCTCTCATGTCCGTCCCTCACAATGCGACCATGGCACACTGCACGCCTCGAAGAACGACAAGCCCCGAAGAGCGCATTGCACGTAGGCCCAGCCTGGGACGTTGCCACGGCTCGCTCAGAACTCCACTCTCAGCATTACTTCATGGTCGGAGGCAAGAATAAAGCCGCGCAGCTGCAGACCCATTCCATGATGTCGCCGATACAATCCTCGGCAGGATCTTATGACTTCGACGTTTCAGGGCTGGGGCACCAAACAGTGCAAGCATTAGGCTCTGATGTCTCGGGCCTGGGACTGGACAGAGCATCTGCGATCTCGGTTGGATGAAACCTCGACCTCCACAGCCCGTGAAAAGCCTCCACGCCAGCTCGAAGCCAGGAGACTACAACGCATTCCACTAGGCAGAGGAGCAAGCACAGGACAATGTTTCCATCCTGCCACGAGCATCTGGCTTCAAATTTTCTGGTGCCCGGAAGCTTCACATGCTACAAGACCCTCCGAATCACGGGCAAACATCCTGGAGGCTAAAATCTTAACCCTGCGAGCATCTTGAGGAGGGGGGGGGCGGAAGGGGAGGAGAGGGAGGGCCGAGACGGATGATGATGATGATGATGGTGATGGTGATGACGGTGATGATGATGATGATGATGATGATGATGATGATGATGATGATGATGATGATGGTGATACTTGTGATGGTGATGATGGTGATGATGATGATGATGGTGATGGTGGTGATGATGATGTTCATGGTGA